GCATCTTTTCTTAAATATATACCTTAATGTGCTATGATGTTGTTTACTTAATAACTTTATCAAAAAGAAATGATAAAAATTTTACAGATATTCTTTAAGCGAAACCTAATAGTACATTTTATCATAACTTGTCAACATTTATTTTTAAACCATAGATATCTGCATAAAATTTTAAAACTTTCATAGCATGAACGAGGGATTTTTCAGAACCGTCTAATATCAAAGAGGTGTCATCTGCGTATTGTGACTCTATACCTTTAATTGTGATACCTTTGATATTACTGATGATTGTATATTTGTATAAAATAGTTTTACCCATGAAACAATAGAGTCATCAAAGTTGAAAAATTTCAGAACCGAAATCATAAAGTCCCAAGACACGGAATAAAATGCCGCAGCGAAGTCGACTAGTAATATCATTCCGGGAATATTATTTTGTTCAGTATAAAACATTAAGTCATAAATTAAACGAATATTATCTCCTATAAATCTCCCCGGGATAAATCCACTTTGGTCTTCACTTATCAATTTGTCTAATACAGATTTAATTTTATTGGCAATACACGCGGATGCAATTTTATATGTAATATTAAGTAGGGAAATCGGACGCCAATTTTTTAAGAAACGTTTATCTTTGTTATTTTTAGTAGTCCCCACAACGGAGGTTTTTCTCCTAACCGCAACTATGGGGACCCATAACCATCCATCCAGAGAGAGAGAGACAGACAGACAGACAGATAAAGAAACACAATTTATTGATAAGTGGCATTGAGAGGAAGTGCAGTGAACAAGAAACATAACCCTTCATTATTGTTTTTATTATCTCCCTTTTATCACAATTTGTTTATCTGCTCAATAACTTGAGTTTGTTTTGGTCTACAGTCTTTCAAACTTCATATGATTAAAACATAAAAAAGGTCATTATCATGACTACCATTGTGAAGCTAAGTATTGCGCACATAATCCAGGTCCCTGCTACGAAATTGAAGATCACATGAAGAGGTCAATGTTTGTGTACGGGACCATTGAGTCATCTTTTATTGATGCATTGTAACACAAAAGATACCTATCATGACTACAAGTGTGACATATGTAATTAAGGTTAACATTTTCAAAGTCAAGGTCACTAGAGATGATTAAATATCCAGATATTGTCGGGATATTGCCCAGAGCATATCTTTTCTATGCATATCTACAATTACCACATTTTGACAATAGCTTTTGTGACGAGCGTATTTTGCGACAATGTTGCCCTTGTTGTAAATTTAGGTTCTGCTCTACATCATACAGCTTTTATCTTTTGATAAATCATGGAAGATATTGCAAATTCTTGCTTTCATATGCAAGGGGATGGGGGAGACATGCTTTTTCTGCGACGCAATTTCTGTATTTTCATTTGTAGGGAAAGTAATGAGTATCCAAATACTCTGGTGACTATTTTCGTACTCCAAAGAAATATTTTCATTTCCTCCACTTAATATGTGTGGTAAATTTAGCTTGTAACTTTTAGGCAATATTGTTTGACAGTTATCAGTTATTTACTGTATAAACTGTATATTGTTTGACTGAACAAGGACTAGCAGTACTCAAACAGTCATTCAGATTCACATACCTATCCATAGTAGATGTCTGTTTTGCATTGTTAGGGGAATAAATTGATAAGCAATTAAAATAAACTGGATCCCGTACTATCAAGTAGATCTGTAGGATACAATTAATTAAGACAGATAAAGTATATATAAAAGGAGATAATTAAATTCAATAAAGTTATACTTTCCCATGCGTGGGGTCAGATAAAGATGCAAGTGTGCATATAAAATGTTATAAAAATGAGAAAATATATCATACATACCACCACATCGATATGCCAGTCCAATTACGCACAGCGCCTTTCTGTCTAAATTCAACAACCAAATACAGACACACAGTGACGATTAATGAAAGCATGTCTTGAACTATTCCTGACGCATACTTTACTCACCAACGTCAGATACTTTTGCCACATATTACAGAATACAGACATCTAGTTGTGTACCTGGAGATATTGTTTTACATCGTACGCCAGTATTACAGCTTGATAAAACTACACATTTAACCATAACGACTTTTGACGGATTTTAGCTATACCTGAAGTTGATAATAATCATTATTTGGATTGTTTCTTGTTTGTTCCTCACGTTAAATTGTGTTCAGTTATTTATCCCAGACACTTTGATTTTATTGGTTGAAAAAGATTTGTGTATTGTTGTACATAATTGTGTATTACTGTTGAGCGGGAGTTCTGAGATACCTCAGTTTGGTCACGTTTGTTCCGATGGTAAACATCAATGTTATGGTATAGCTTTTTATTTCTTCGGATTGTGGATCTCCATGATAATAGTGTGTAGCTCTTCATTTAATTAACTTAAAATAATATGCACATTATATCTGTCTGTACACATTATTGATATCTTAACTTTGCAGCAATATGACATGTGTAAATAGAGGTTTGTTGTTATATAAGGAAACAGTCAATGCCATATAATGGTAAGTATATATTCTATTTAACTGATTTATCTGTGTCATAAGATGTTCATTTTAAGATGTCGCTGAATTTGTTGTCATGGTAATTTATTGCATATCTAAATACTGGAATTAAACTGGAATGATGTATGAAATGCATTGTAATGTAATTCACTAGTTTGAATATTTTTCTTATTAATATTCTATGATTTAGGTTGTCATTACATTACTACTGATATATCGAACAATTAATTAAATGGAGACGAACCTACACAACTTTGGTTTTCTTTGTCACATTTAAAACAAGGTCCAAGTTTACCCGCCTTTTAACTGATTGTATACGTTTTGTGAACGGGAACAACAACCCTTACAGAGAAACATTCGCGTGCAGTTTAGCATGTAAAAATGACCCAAAATAATAGTATTGCCATTTTGTGAATATTTTTCATGTATATTAGTTTTGTTTTATTATTCATACATGGATTGCTGCAAAGACTACTTTGTGTCTTCACTTTAAATGTATATTTCGTTGCCACTGATTTAGAATCGAGTAAGTGTAAATGTAGTTTATTACACCGAATTACAGAGAAATCCTCGCTGTATTTGAAACAACTTTCCATTGCCATAATTTAGTATGTTTTCAGGAAATAGAAATATAATAAACATTGAACCTTATCAAAAATTCTACAAGAGATTCATTTTCTTTTCTCGTTACATTAATTGACAAGGACAAAGTTATACCAATGCATCTTACTCTTTACACGAGATCGACGTTTCTTCAATTGCCCATATTAAACACTAGTAACTTACAAGAAAAACATAACATGCAGTCCCGTTGATTATCCCCCAACCCCCCTTTTTGCAATTATAATTGATAACCATCATATAATGAATACTCTAAATGCACCAAAAAACCAGGTCCATTTGACACGCTGGTTGAATGCATCTCATCCTCAGTTGTAGAGGGTTTAGACTGGATGATTTCTAATCCAGTTATTTCTTGACGTGAGTTCGATCCCCGGCAGATATTTTGGTAGTTTAGCACGGAGGAAGGTAAACTCGTACTCGTGTAACTCTCCAGGAACAATGGTTAGGTAACTACCCGCCTATAAGACTGAATACTGCTGAAAAAAATGTGTAAAAAATAAACAAACAAAAGCATATCACAGTTTGCTGACGTTCTTTAAGTACGATAATATAAAGATGTAAAAACATGACCCAAAGTGTGTTTGAGTAAGACCAGCGCCAATAAAGGGCTGCCACATCCAACTGGAGACAAGATGCTCACATGCATTCACAAATTATTTCAGAATAATCAAACTTTAACCACAGAAATGCAGTAAAGCATTGTTTAAAGTCAATACATAGTTGTATATATATTGGATGAACTCTCCGAGGAAAGTCATAGAAGCGAATCAATGCTTGTCTACATGAGAAATTTATATTTCTAATACATGCATCTTTAATGACTTCTAGGAAAAGTTTATCTTTTAAAATCTCAGGAAACATCTACGTAAAAAGACGTAAAATATGAACTAAGGACATAGAAATGCTTTGAACAATGTCGTTTAGCTAGCCTTTCATTTCGAGTGACTTGAGCAGATATCGCTTAGTGTGTCAATATCTGGAATATGTCCTTAATTGGCATTCATTTTGTTGAGTGTGTCCTCAGTTGTAAACGTCTGTCACATATTTAAACTATTATTCGCAATAGAAATGTATCGTCCTACTTGCTACCAAATCAAGATGGTGAATATATTGTCGCCCAATTACCGGACAAATTACATCTTTAATGTTGAACCTTTGATGTAAAATGCATGTGTATTGTTAAGGGTTGGGAAATGAGTTATATGAGTTTTGTATCATTATTTGAGATTAGAAAACAATTAAGAAAAAAATTATATTATTGTTTTATCATTTTGTAGAACTATATTTAAAAGTGTTATACATTTTCCTTAAATCAGTATTTGTTACATTGGAAAGCATATATCTATTTTATTATTTCAGAAGATGTGCATCGTTTGTTTTTTGGTTTATCACACTTCTACAATGCATCAGTCAATAAAATTTGAATCATTGTGTCGAAATATGTTTTGACCGTTTGACACCCCAGATTTTGACCCATTTTCTGTTACTCCATGAACCGCCTCCGTTGTCGAGAAGTTAGAGTCGATGACTTCTAATCAAGTTAACTCTCTGGCGAGGGTTTGATCCCCGAGAGATGCTTTGGTAGTTTAGTGCGGAGGAAGGTAGACTAGTGCTGGTGTAACTCTCCAGGAACGATGGTTAGGAAACTACCCGCCTATATGACTGAAATACTTTTGGATAAAGGCGTAAAATGAAACAAACAAACAAACGAAAAAGAATTACCCAATGTAAATGAAGAAGACCATGCACGACATTTTCCTACTTAACACTGAAATAAGTCCGTAAATGAATTGTATATGGGTAAAAGTGTAAACATCTATATTTAGCAGGTGACCTTGATCCTCTTAACCAATCTAAAAGGAATTTAACCATAAAATAGCCATCCGTTTAAAGATGAAAATCATCAGGCAAAAAATACAGGCTGATGTGTCGCATAATAATTGGCTCCATTGACCTTGGCGAGAAATTTCAGATCAATTCAAACTAGGTAACAATCCCTATATTTAAAGGGGTTTAAAAGGAAATAGCTGAAGATCTAGTATGAAATATTGAATATGGTGTAAGTCTATAAAATTTATTTATTTGTCGCTTAATATTAGAAATGATTAATCTGCATGATGACCTTTTCAAATTTTTGTGTAACGGCCTGCCTTTAGACTAACAACGTCCAAGTTAAATATTATAATACAATCTGATTTAGAAACTGAAAAACTATCATCCCATTCGGAAGCCTGAAATGTATAAAATGAAGCCTTGTAATGCCTTTTGTTTTTGCAAAAATGACGTGTCTGATTTAGAATCTGCTTAAAATGTGCAACCTCTTGAACGAAATTATGTCCTGCATTTTGAATTTTTCTTTCAAGTTCAATGTAGAAATAGTTGTAAATCGCATATTCAATATTATTAGTCTGCTCCAAATGTTTAATTTGACGTTCATTCAAATAAATGCCATCATTGTGTTTTGTCTTTTTAGGCGCGTAAATAATGTCGAAAAAGGACCAACGAAGAAGTCTTTTCAAAATAATTAGTGACTCGTCAAATTTTTCCATAATAAGAACACATGCAAACTCAATGTTAAGTTTCTCCAGCTTCTTCTGTAAAGATTGCCTTGTTATACTTTGATTATTCAAACCAAAATATGACCCCATTATATTGTGCACGTTATATCTAGGTGTATCCATGACCACTTTGTTTATAAATGCTTGGTCACTTAATCCATATAAATTAGGGTACTTTTTATAAAGTCTGAAATAGAAAGCATGACTGACAAGTCTCGTTTCTGGTTTCCGAATTGTTCCAATAATCTTAGAGTTTTTTACAATGTGCGAAAAAAATAAATAATTGTATTTCGTGTGTATTACAAAAATATCATAGTGCTTGTTATCTCTAATTAGCTTTTGTTGCATTTTTTCCGAAATAGTATTTCGTTTTGGCAAAAACAAAGATAGGTTATTGTTGATACCGAATCGTATGAAAATACAGGCAGTCGTACTTGATCCGCTTTTTGGAACTTTCAAAAATGAAATATGCTTCCACTTTTCGCTTTCATTTGTTTGAGAAAGCATTTCCGATTTAACATCAGAGAAATATTGATTTCTTTTTCTTGCGTTGTCTGTGTTTATAAATGTTCTATTTTCAATAAAGAGATCATATGCATGTCTTGTAAAATATAAGTGTGCCGCATAAGGAATGCATACCATCAACGTTACAATGATGAAAGGTGTTTCTCCACACGTTAATCTGAAATATAAATAATATTTTACCCATTAATATAAGTTTAAATCCAAAGACACATTCATTGTTTACTTTATAATGCAGTTTCATTACAGTTAATAATGTATCATATTAACATGTAGTTTGTCATTCGATATAGCCTTTAAAATGATCAATGTATAAATACATGCACTTTGATTTTGATTATTGTTTCTAAACTTGAATATCATTATCGTCTAATAATTGACTATTTGAAAACCGGATAAAATCATTGTTAAGTTAAGCTGGTAGAATACAACCATATTTTGTTTGTATGCTGTCCTTTCATTCTCATTTAAAAGAAATTTCGATCAGAGTGTGAAATTAGCTTTGCTATAATGCACTTCATAAGTTTTTAAGTATGACAATGACATACTTACCTTCTTTGAACAATTCATAACAAAGGAACTCCTGAGATTGTTTGACATGACAGGACTTAAACTAGTTTTTCTCGAAATTAATCTTTCAATTTCAGATTTCGCTGTCTCAGATTTGCTAGACATTTTTTAATGATTTAAAATACTGACCCAAAATTGATAAGTGTTTCAACAGTTTTCTGTAGAAAATTGAACAAAATAGGGTTTTCAATTTATTTTTGAGTATATTTCGCCTCAATATTTTGCTTATATTTATAGATTTTAGATTCTAAACGTCAGTGGAGTTCCTTTGATATAAAAATAATAATCAAAAGGAAACTCGACCCCAACCATTTTGAAACAATTACATTAATGTCTGCTTAACAATTGATGAACATATGTCAAACATTTACATATTTTTTCTTATTTTTTCTTTATCAATGTATACAATGGTTAAAGTTGTATATTTTACATTTAAACAAATCAACATGCGACAAATAATTAAAAGAATATAAAACATGTATAAGAAAAGGCATATTTTGATAAATAGATATGCATATTTTTTGCCACAAAATAATGTAAAAATGTCTTACCTATACATTATGTTTGTTCTACTGCACATATATTTAATCCTCTTTTTTAAACATGAAGAAGCACACACATTCAAATACACTGCATAAATGAGATCATACTACAATGTACAATCACATCACTATGCATGCATTATTGTTGTAAACACACACTTGTATAGTGATGTGTACGGTCTACAATACATTCGAGAGTTAATTTCATTTACACAGTATTTTAATCAATTATAAAACGTTAACTAATACTACTATCACTAATTGACACAACAATCAATATAACATATAAACTAAATCACTAAATATGTTTTAACACATATTTTTCTCTCTTCTTATTTTTAACATAATTAAAATTGTGGAAAAAAGGGTACCGTATAATACCATTTTCGGGAATTTACGGGACGGATTTGTACGGAGCAAGTATAAAAATCCGTATCGGGAACAAGAAACACACAGAAAGTCCGTATATTGGCCATATACTTTTTAATGTTCTTATTTTTGTAAAATATCAAAAGTGGGCAACACATGTTTGCAAACAATGATTTATTTCAGGAAACAATTATGTTATAATACGCTGTCAAAATGTTAAAGGTAAGCTGTCCGGTTCGCGGATACTTTTTAAGTATGTTTAGCATTAGTAGCAAAAGAAAAGTGCCCAGTCTTTGGAATTCAGAGGTTACCGTATTTACAGGATTTGTTTTTTTCAAAAGAACTAATGAGGAGAAAATACAAGACTTTAAAAATCATTCAGTTTATACAGGGTTTCAGTTTTCAGAGGGTCTGGTTTTCAGAGATGTTAATCTACTATAGGACAAAGTTGTTTACAGTGTATGCATGTGTCTTTTTTGAATATCCTGTATTTTAGTTTGAAGCAAATGTTTTATTACAAAATAGCTTTTACTATGCACACACCATTTTTAAAGTTTCAATTAAATATTAAGTACTACCTTAAGCTATCATTAACAAAAATAGAAGCACAATATACATTTTAATCAAATACATATTTTTGGCATACAGGATGATTTTTTTTGTTTCATATTTGAATTGTGTGACCTAGTTTTTGACACCAAGTAAGCCACATTCCAACTCGACCAAAAAAACATCAAAACAACCTTTGTGACCAATTGCCATGATATTTGGAATAGAACAATAGCCTCAAGAGGTTTTTTTTTTCCATATTTGGACTTAACCAAAGTGAACAATATGGATATGACCTAGAAATCATCTATACATTCCTTCTGATCAACTTCAAGGATATCTTGTTTCAAATAGTAGCCACATGTGTTAAAATAGATTTTTCAATATTCTAACTTGACCTAGATCTCATGAAAACACTTTTTCTGACCAACTAGCTTGGTATTTGGACTGGAACAGTAGTCCCTAGTGTTGACAAGGTTTTTCCATATTTGGGCTGCGTGACCTACTTTTTGAAACACAATTGATCCGTATTCGATCTTTAAGCAGAATTCATTAAAGCAAAATGAACAATTTCTAGGATATTTGGATCAAAACAGTAGTCCCTATTGTGTTAACAAGGCTTTTCTATATTAGGGCCGTGACCTAGTGTTGGTCCCAAAGTGACCCTTATTCAAACATGACTAAGAAATCATCAAAACACTTTTCTGTCCATAATTCCAGGACAGTTGCCAATGAAGTGTTAACATTTTTTTCTATTTCCAGTTCATGTGACCAACTTTTTGACCCGAGATGATTGACCTGTATTTAACTAGGACAAACATTCTGACCAAGCTTGATATAATCAAACTAAAACTGTGACTGCTAGAGTGTTTACAATCTCAATGTTGACACATGATGACGGACGCCACACATAACACAAACACTGTACCACAATTTGCGTTTAGGTGAGCTAAAAATCCAACACGTCAATATACATTTGTTCTTTCCTTTTTAGTTCAGCAATAAATTTTACTTATTATACAGACATTGTTTTATTAAGTTCCATTAAATGATTAAAATTCCTAAGACTGTAGAATATGTCTTCATGTGATAAATTTCCAAGTACTTCAAAATGCTTCAACACCTTTAGCCACCCAAAAGACTTTTGGTATGCACACTGTCTCTTTTCACCCTTAGGACATGACATTTGATATACAAAGACCCAATAAGCCTGATACTGAAAGATCCAAGAAATTACATCATGTACCAACACCCCACATGCAAGATCATTAATAAAGAAACTCGACAAAGCACATCATATATTCCTCTCAAAGCATACATACAAGAGGTTAGACTTAAGTGCAACATAGTTTGCACTGTCATTTGTGTCATCTAAAACATATAAAGGAATAAATTGTTTTTCACATTGACTAACAATCTATGATGTCACATACTCATACGATGATTTTTCCTATTGATAGGTCACAATAAAATAATAAGAGCATAATTATTATACCGGTGCATTATTATACGCCGTTGCCTTTTTTCTGATGAATTGGAGACTGAGTACTGTTTGTTGTTTCCTAGACCGTTATCTGGAGCTGCGGTTGAGGGTAAATATCATTTAATTTTTTTTTATTATGAAGATGAAAAATGTGTAACCTACATACTAATATACCTATATTGTATTGAATTATTTAACTGCAAATAATAATATTTTAAATAAATTTAGAGCTCCAAATAAGGGCCATACTTTTGTGAACACGGCCTTTTCAATAAAAGACTTTGATTTATTTAATGCTTAACATTGAAATATTGGATTTTTTCAGTGAAATAAAATCCACATCACCTACAGTATATCACTCACGCCGTGGTTGATAAAGCTCTGCAAAACTTGTTCTGGCGTACGTTTTAAATTTCATGACTCTTTTTTATATTTCATAATGTATGTTCGTTGAGTTTTGTTCTAAATAACATAATTTTCGATTCAAATGTCATTTTTTTTTATCTATAATAGTGACAAATTCAGCCACGAATATAACTATAAACTTGAAAGCGCAGCATTCTCGCAGTTGTTACGTACGTGCGTCTGTTTCCCGCATGTCTTTGAAAACGGTTAAAATCTTCCGTTTTCCCAACTTTGTATGCATTTAAAAAGAAAATTTGTTAGTTTTTTCTTGAATATCACATATATTCAAATTTCAATATTCTTACTTCTCAGTGTCACATATAACATATTCACTCAAAACAAACGAATATACACTATTTATTTTCAAAATGTGTGTATACCATTACAATTTAATATCAAATACATACGAAATATACGTATTTATTATATAATCTATAAATAGCTTTGAAATGCCTTTCCCTGATTGGCTAACAAGCAACTTTTTGTAAAAAATAACAGGTCAATATCAGCGTATATTCACTGTTTTTTTTCTAAAAATAGATTTTCAGAGTGTATTCACCGGTTTTTCTTCTAAAAATAGATTTTCTGGAAATCCCTAAAAGACGCGAGACTTTGACGTGACGTCACGCCAAGTTTGTTGTTATTATTCTGAAAAAACGTTGAGTGGGGTGTACATTAGAGTCAAATTAGTCTATTTTAGTTAACGTTTTACATTTTTAAGAACAATAGGGATTAGCATGCCAATGGAAAGGGCCAAATTATGGAAACAGTAGACAAGCTGTATAATAATGATTTCCGTCGTATGCAATGGCAGATGTGATAAGCCATATAAAAGCTATTTATAAATTATATAATAAAACAGATATGTACTTTATCGCCTCGGTCAATATTAATTTTTTCAGTACATATCACATCATATTCAACAGCTAAAAAGTCCATATTTGTATAATATCAAGTCGTATCAGAACTTCTGTATCAACCCCAGGGCGCTCGTTAGCATTTTGAGACTGGGTAATTTCACATCATTTGTAATGTTTTCTATTCAGTTAACAAACTGATCATCAATAAGCTGCTTTCATTCCCAATAAAACTGAATACATCGTTGATACTAACTTAAACGGGCACACTATGCTGATGCTAAAAACTGACAGGGACGTTTTACTTCAATATACATTCTAGTCACAAGTTGCCGTTCCCAGAATATATACTTAACCTTCTGCGTAATCTATGGCTGTTTAAAATTAATTGCGAAGAGGAATTTGTCTGGTTTTTGGGGGCAAAAAACAACAAAGTATCAGCTCAAATGGGAAAACAAAAAAAATCAAACAAATGCTATACTTGTACACATGCATTTCATAAATTGTTTTCTCAATGACAAACAGTCTTTGATGTGAGTCACAACCTTGTGTAGAAAACATGATTCCCTATTCATCATATAAAGAAATTACATATGTACAAAATCTGCACAAGAGCTTATTTGCCACTTGGGAATTTTTAGCTATGCATCAACTATTATTCTGCACGAAACACCTTTTTAAGGTCATAGACATTCTGGCTTCGTCCGTCAAAATATATAATTGTTTATCGTCTGAAACAATTTTAACAAAGGTGTGGCCAGGTTTTACAAATTTACTTAAATCTGGAGAATAACAATGCAAAGTGATATCACTTGATTAACATAAAAAATTATGATGTCCTTAGCCAGGATTTACAGTAGACTAAAACTCAAGGGTCAACTATTTTAAATTAGCTTACCCGTCTGGCGTCATAGCTAAGTCGGAAAAAATCAAGACATTTAACGGAAGAAAAGATTGCTTCATATTGCTGCGGTTGCAACATTAAGCGGTTATGGTGCGACATTTAGCGGCAAGTGCGACATTTAGCGGCATTGTGACATATAACGGCGCATCAGTAACCACAATGTAAGCATTCGAGAAAATAGGTACATTCATTTGTACAATGATAAAAGGGATATTATTTTGTGATAGGAAACATAGGTTATCATGTTTCTGATTACCAAATCTACTTAAAAGTATGTGAGTGATAAGAACGTGTTACAAGCTAAACGCTTGTTTGCTTTTAAGGACTCCCATAATTTACACACAACGCAAAACAAATTAATAAAACAGACAACCGTCTAATACCATGTATTTTCAAGTAGGATATTAGATACAAAACATTTGTGTACTTATTTTCTGATTGATTAATTGGTTTTCAAGCTTAATATGTTGTTTAACTACAATTCTACAGAGTTTTGTAGCTATGGTGGTTATTGGTTTATACATTTGGAAATACCCAACTAGACAATCATTCAATTTTTTTGTTTTATGTCATACTTACTTCTTAATTTCCTGGAATAATAACAGTTTCAAGCGAATACAGATTATTTGAACA